TTCCTGTGGGACTGATGCAGAGACTGCAGAAACATGACATCTCATTTCTTGGATCATCCTTCTTTTCCCAATTTCTACACAATGGAACATCACAGGACTGAGCCCGGGAACCTCTTCATTCTCTATATCAGCTTCATTCTCTGTATCAGCTCTCACGGCTGGGAGAGACCCAGGAGCGCCACAGGGGAAAGGGATGATAAGGGACTGCCAGAAGGGTCCAGACCGTCTTTGGCACAGGACTTGGAAAGCACTGAGCTGAGGATGGAGCGGACTTGCTTTCCTGGAATATATCCACCACTCCCCAGGGTCCAGGCAATTTGGCACATCGGAGTAAAAAGAAATGGCAGTCTGAAATGGCTGGATTTACAGTTCCCGGTGCGTTCTATCAGTGATAAGCACCCATCCAGAAGCCTGGCTGGGAAAAGAATGACACTTCGATCTCTGGGCCACAGACAAGACAGGGGCTAGCAGACGGCCTGGAGATCTGGCAGGGTCTAATACTAGAGCTAACTGCACTAGTCATTAGCACTTTCTGAACAAAAACTGGGTAACAGGTGAGTGCAAGGCTCGGAAGTGGTTTAGTTTCACCAAGCCAGTTCTCCCCTTGGAAGGATGGGAGGGAAGATAAACCACAGGGTAGACAAAGGAAAATGCAGCCCCCTCTCATGATTTGCGGTTCTGGTCCATAAAGTTGCCAAGAACAATGAAATAGCAAAATATTGAACCGTCGCTCCCCAGGGAAATGCAGACTTAGTTCCTGCCAGCCTCTAGCTTTTGGTCAGCTGAGCAATCCATAACCTTGAGTTGTTTCTGTTTAAAGACACCTTATGTAGTAAGTCATGTTCATGTATTAATATTGAAGTTGCAGGCAGCAGCACTAGAACTCATGCCTGAATGAAGCTTATCGAACACACATTCTCTTTGGAAGGCACATCCCAGCCTCCTTACCACTAGGCACCCTAGACCAAGCACTAGGCTTCGGGGCCACTTGAAACAACGAGATCGCCAACAAGAAACACAAAAAATCTGACACACATTGCACAAATAGACCTGAAAAGGACACTTGTTTTCAGCACAGGAGCTAAACGAGAAGGCAGAGTGTTGTCCAAGCTCAGCTGGGCATGTCCCAAGCTTTCACACACGGGCCCCTCCCAGCGGCACAGCCAGAGCCCAGCCAGTGTTCAGAAAGTGACAGCAAGTGTCCCTGACCCTGTTGCGAGGAGAATGGCCTCTGGGTTAGAAGCTGGGTGTGAGGAGGGCCGTGCTGCGGCCATTGCCCACCAGGAAGGGAGGGACAGAACCCTGGCCAGGCAGAGGCAGTGAGGAGAGCTTGTCTGTCTGCACGTAAATTCCCACTTCCAGAGTGCAGGGGTTTCTGTGGTCCTAGGAATTGTTTTTGTCAAGCTTCAGGGACCAGTGTTGGCTTCCTTCCAGGCCCTTCTCGGCACCAGGCATGCCTAGTAGCCCTCCGCATAAAATGTGGCATTTCATCCTCAAAAGGCCTGAAGTGACTTGTCCACTGTCACACAGCAGGTCAGAGCCCCAGACCAAAGACCCCCTGACCTCCATCCACTCCATTCTGTCCCCTGTCCCCTCACCCCCTTTATAAATCTCCTCTGCAGCTGCAGTAAGGCCAGGAAGGAGCTTGCCCGAGAGGCTCCAGGAAACCCCTCCCTCCTCATCGTGCCCAAACTTTCCTTTTCCTCCCTCCCTCCCCTCTCTCCCACCCCATGCACCCCCTCTCCTCCTCTGGGAGCCCACTGCTCAGACCACCAGTGTCCTACCCAGCTGGTGGACGCGACTGGGCAGCCCTAGGACCACTTCCCCCGGAACAGCGTCTGTAAGCTTTGCTGATCCCACCACAGCACTGCGGGGGAGGGACCCCTCTAGCTCTGGGTCTGTGATTGCTGACTAGGACCTGCCCACCTTGTCCTTCCCGTAAGCGTCCTGGAGTGGTGACCATCATAACCCGGCCTTGGAATCACTTGAGGAATTTTTAGTGATCTGATGCCCAGACCAATTCAATGAGAACTCCATGGCTGGTCTGAGGAATATGAATCTCCAGCTATCTTCAGCCCTGCTGAGCTCCCGTGCCATTTCCTAGGCCTTGGCATCCTCGCCCCCACCCCAGAAACCCAGAATTCTCTGGAAGATCAGGCAAATGATGTTACTCATGAGAGTTAGAGGGAAGACATTTAGCCTATGTTAACTAATTAATTAATCTTTTAGAGGGGGGAGGGACAGGGGGCAAGGGAGGGAGAGAATCTGAAGCAGGCTCCACGGCCCAGGGCAGATTCCAAGGGAGGGCTTGATCTCTCAACCCTAAGATCATGACATGAGCCAGAATCAAGAGTCGATTGCTTAACCCACTGAGCCACCCAAACGACCCTAGTCTATGTTAATTTAAATGTGACAAACCTTCTCACATTCCTTAATGCTTGTGTTCAAATACTTATATCATTTAAGAAGGCAGAGTCTTCCAATTAGAATATTCTTAGTAGAGCGAGAGGCTAAAAGTAACCTTTACATGACAAAGAAACACCGAGCTATCTGGGGATCTTCAAGGATCCCCTTGCACACTTGCTTTCAAGGGTTGTTATTTTTCTTTAAGATTTTATTTATTTGTTTATTTTAGAGAAAGAGAGCGCAAGTGGGGGAAAGGGCAGGGGGGAGAGAATCTGAAGGTGACTCCGTGCTGAGCACGGAGCCTGACACGGGGTTGGATGTCAAAACCCTAATATCATGACCTGAACCAAAACCAAAGAGTCCGAGGCTCAACGGACTGAGCCACCCAGGCGCCCTGCTAAGGGTGGTTTTAACAACGCGGAACTGCCTACGACATTTTCACACAAGATCTCATACCAGGCCAGAAAGTAAGACAGGCTCTTGTCTCAACACCCTCTGCTCCCCACTTGCTCTGAA